TACATCTTTATCACTGAAAAAAACTCCGATGATACAATTCATAAAGCTTGTAAGGCCTCGGGTTGGGGTTTGTGGGGGTAGTTACCCTAATAATGGAATAACTCGTTTGAGGGGAATTCTTGTTCAAGTGACGCTTTATTGTGAAATTTTCGCTGGAAAGCGCAATACGATTTTCACTACACAATAGTTTCCTTAAACATTTGGAAGATTTTTCTTGATCTTTTTGGAAATAGGCTGAACGCGACCAATCTTCCAACAAGAAGGAAAAACCCCTTTCTTTTAAGACAGGTTGAAAAGTCTGCAAAACACTGGTGCGAGTTTATCTGCGCACTTTTTAAGAACGCCTGTGGATTCCAGTGTGGGAATCGTGGGTGGTGCCTTTACCAGAAAATCTACCGTGGAGTGGGACGCAAATTGTTCAGCTTTTTCTATGGCTGTTGTTGCAATTGAACCATCCCCTCGTATTAGTGATGGAATTGTGGATTTTGTCAAGTTCTGATTAACAGCTTCAGCTACCGACCAGAAGGATATGGACCCGTCGGGATTGGCAAGCAGTTTATCCCTAATTTTGAAGTCAAGTCAAAGTCAAAATATGCTTTATTGTCTGAAGATTGATATCTTATTGACAAAGCTTGGTTAAAATAATTTAATAGAAAAACAAACAAACAAAATTACACATATTAGCTATCGCTACTTAGTCATATAAAACTATACACTATACAGTAATACAATTTCAAGTAGATACTGAATATATGTATATGTAACAAAATAGGACATAAAAAGATAACAGAAACAGTTTGTATTTACTCAGCACAATACAACACTTTAGGAAAATAGCCAGTAATAATGTATTTTTGAAAATTTCCAATATTGATTACATGAACTGTATTAAGAGTCAGACACAAGTCAATCAATCAATCATGCTTTATTATTGTCCAAGAAATCATTATTGACAAAGCTATTGAAACTTTAGGAAGTCAACAATGTTAAAGTTATTTAAAAAAAAATTAAAATTATGATATACAGTGAACAATCATTATAAGTTTGAAAAATGTACATATACGAATACACATAAATAAAACAATATATAAAACATTACAGATAATAAATAAATAAATCATTACAGATATGTAAGCATCTGAAATACTAAGTGTTAAAATACATCATAGTAAGATTTTTTGCAGAAGTACACCTTTAATTATTTTCTGATTTTTTTTTAAATTTGCTATCGCCCTATAGCATATTGGAAAGTGATTGTAAATTCCAACTTCCTCTCGTGTGGTAACGTCTGTCATTATTTACTGCTGAATTGGAGTATTTTTGTGAATTAAGCAAACGGTTTCTGAAAGGAATAAATAAGGTACCTACAATAAGAATTTACTGACTGATGAAAAGTGGTTTGCAGTGGTCTTGTGATTTTGCCATACATATGCATCTGACAGCCCTTTTTTGTAGAACGAATACTGAATTTAGTAATTACTGACTACAGAAGCCCCAAAAGGCAATTCCATATCTCAAGTGCGACTCTACCAAGAAAAAAAAATACACAGTTCTGGCTGAGGATAGATTTGAGTTCGTTAGAAACAACTCGAACTGCATAGCAGCCAGATGCTATATTTTTGCATAGATTTGTTATATGCTCATCAAATTTTGATTTATCGTCTATAAATACACCTAAATATTTTGTGTGAGTTTTGTTAACTATAGCGTGATTTTCTATAAGTAAGGCGTCAAAATTGAGTTTGAAGCAGACTATGGTCGTTTTATTTGTGTTGAAACATAAGGAGTTTGAATCGCACCGCTGTTTAACCCTATAGAGATCCAGGGTTATGATGTCTCTGATTCTCTCATTATGAAGTTCTTTGCTTTCATTTTTCCTAAGTTTGCAGTTGTTGCGGGCATTAACAAAGCCAGTTCGATTTTCGGCACTGGGATTTTTGCGCCACTGCCGATAGGTGAGATTTTTGGAGGCGACAGTTCGTTCGCAATTTCTGTTGAACCAAGGTTTGCCGTTAGAAGGTCGTTTCATTGAAAAATGAATATATGCATCCATAGATGATAGAATAACTTTCGTGACTTCAGAAGCACAAGTTGATGGATCTTTAGAGCTGAAACAAACATCTAGCCAAGGGAAATTTCGGAAATGGTCTCAAAGATCCTTCTATTCAGCTGATCTGTAATGCCAAACTTTGCGGGCCTTAGATTGTTCCCCAACATTCATCGGTAACTCACTCAACACTGAAATGAGTTTGTGGTCAGAAGATCCCAATGGAGACCTTACGGTGACTGTGTAAATTTCTGGATTGGTTGTTAGGTATAGATCCAGAAGACTGGCATATTCTCCATCACGGTCAAGAATCCTTGTTGGCTCATTTTTAATCTGAGTAAGTCCGTTGCTTATTGCAAAAGCCTCAGTTTCGCGATCTTGTTCGTCGTTGATATTTGAAAATTTGAGCCATTCGATTTTGTGGACATTGAAGTCACTGAATGTGGAAATTTGGGCACTGGGATGATTGATTTGCAGAAAGTCAATGGTATTTGCAATGGTATCGCTAGGTGTCGATGAACGCAGCATATGAATTTGGTGATCGTATGTGATATTAGTTTGAACCACATAACATCGAAGTTTCTGGGTTCTAGCATTTCCTCCCGTTGACAGCAGAGATCATTTCTGATAAAAAGAAATATTCCAAAAGTTATGTTTGAATCGGGAGTGGAAATCATAGCCGAGATATAGAAAATTGACGAGGTTTGTTGTAGCACTGACTTTGGTTTCCTTGAATGAAAGAATATGAGGACTATTTGATTGCAGATGTTGGTGCACTGAGTTTATATTTGAGTTGAGTCCTCTGATGTTACAGAAATCGATTTTGAAGTTGCTAGTGGGGCTCTTAGCATCTGCAGTTACTATGCTATTTCCCTGAAGACTGTTGTTAGGAAGACCCTGCTAACTGTCAGAAATAGTAGTTTTCGAATAACTTATGCAGGATGATGCCCTTGAATCGGCTCCCACACGGAGATCCCATTGGGGAGCTATTTTACCTCCTAAGAGCGTCATCATGCTTATATTCCCACCCTTGAAACCGGAAACAACGGCACAGTAACGAAACGTTAGCACGAAAGCAACTTCACGCTGCCTAACGGCTTGGCGACGGGGTTCGGTGGTGCGAACGACGAAGCGGGGAGCGAGGCGANCATTTTTTATTTTTTTTCACAAAAATGTTTTCAATTATTTCCGCTAATCCCAGAGTGGGCCGATTTAACAAAAAATGTTATTCAATTGGAAAAAAAATTGTCTAATTTTCACAAATGAAAATTTTGTTTTCACAAACATAACAAAATAAATGCAATTAACGATTTCAAGGTATTATATTCTCAATTGAAAGGTTTAAGCTACAATTATACTGACTATTATTAATGATTGATACAGTTAACATATGGTTTCAAAAATAATGCAAAAAATCATTTATTAATTTCCTCTCTGGCGTTCGAATATCTTACAAATTTTATGTTCATGCGAGTTTGAAAAGTTTTTAACATATAAACAACCATTTTTATCCGGAATTATACAGTGTCGTTGTTGAGAACCCAAAAAACAAAGATCGAACATTATGGGTACTTTCTAGACATTATTTGACGTTAATCTGTACTTATAAGTGTGAAAGTCACTTAACACTAATTTATCTCTGTTTCTCCGTACTGGTAAGTCCTAGAAAGCTATAATGCTTCTTAAGTATGAGGTGTGTACTAAGAAAGGATTCCCAAACATTCCTACTGTCGAGCCCCCGTGGGATTAAAGGGACGCGTTTACATATAAAAGTTACCTTTTCGTCACTGTTTCTCTGTATCGCTATATTTTCAGACACTGAGATTTGGTATGTAGATTAGTTCCATATTGTAGATGTGTAGTAAAAAAACGTTTTCAATATTTCAACTGGGCACCTCCTTCCCGGGGATAAAAGGGGCGCGTTTACATATGAATGTATGTAGGTTCGTTTTATGTTGTATAGATGTGCAATATGAAAAGATTCTTGAATATTCGAACTGGGACGTCCCCATAAAAAGGGGGGCGATTACATATGAAAATTACTTTTTCATCACTGTTTCTTTATTTATAGGCCATTCGAGTGCTTTCACCTATCCCCTCTTCTCTCTCTCCGCTTCATTGGTTTTAGCCGGAGATGACCGTTTGGCGGGGGTTGGTCGTTTTTCGTTTGATTAGAGGTTTCCATATGTTACGTATATCTACGCTAGCTTGACTAAATGCGTTGTTGGACAACATATGCGCGGCTTCTTTGTAAGTAGGTTCATTTTATGTTGTATTGATGTGTAATAAGAAAAGATTCCTAAATATTCGAACTGGGACACCCCCACTGGAGATTAAAGGGGCCCGATTACATATGAAAATTACCTTTTCATCACTGTCTCTTCGGAGGCTGTAAAATTTGTATGTAGGATCATTTTATTTTATAGATGTGCAGTAACAAAATATTTTTAAATATTCCAACTGGGGCTCCCCCTCTGGGGATAAAAGGGGCGCGTTTATATATTGAAATTACCTTTTCATCACTGTTTATCCGAAGGCTGAAATTTTATATGTAGGTTCGTTTTATGTTGTAGATGGGGCAACAAGAAAGGATTTTTGAATATTCCACTTAGGGTGCCAGCCGCGAAGGAAAATGGCGCTTTCATAAAATAAAGTTATCTTTTCATCACTGTTCCTCCATGCCTTTGAATTATCGTTGGGTAAATTTATATTCACTATCAGCATTGCACCTGTGCGGATCCGGAGCGGGTCGCTATTAAAATATATTCTATTTAATTCTCTTTTTCCAACAAAGTGAGCCAATGGCGGCTGATGACAATATCAGCCGTTCGACTATCATGTTCAACATAAAGGTTTGGTGCAAAAAGCCAACTCGATTAAACTCAAAAATTTCAGTGAGAGAATTGATAGACGGGACTTTTGAAACTGATGATATTTTCTCTTTTTATTTCAGTGGTTCTCAAATAAACCTGTGCAATGGCTCCTCTTCTCCCACCATCACCAGCTCCATTGCTTTACGAAAAGTTCCAAACAGCAGTCCCAATGGCAAAAGGCCCATGATATCTCTCACTCACCTACCAAAAAGGATTCCGGTGAACGTCCAGTTCAACGATCTCTCCTATTCCGTATCAGAGGGCAGAAAAAGAGGTTACAAAACAATTTTGAAATGTGTCAATGGCAAATTCAAATCGGGAGAGTTGACGGGCATAATGGGGCCATCGGGAGCCGGAAAAAGCACACTTATGAATATATTGGCTGGATACAAGTAAGTAAAATGGAAGTTATTCAATTGTTGTATCCCGAATAAACCACGTTTAATCGATGAGAGTGTGTGCAAATTCATAATTTTCGATATTTCGCTATGACGAACTCAAGTAGGTCCAATTAATTTAGTCGAAAGTAATACCACATGATCCCAAAATGTTATCGATAAATTTTCATCTTTTTAAGAAAACTGATTTGGCAATGAAACCTCCATGATAAAACTACGAGTCCAAAGGAAAAGTGGTTTCATCTATTGCTGGTTTCTCGACTGATATTGATCAAATATTTTGGGTCGCGTATTTTTTTCGATTTCAGGCAAATTCAGAACAACGTTAAACATAAAATAAGCAATTTTTCAAAAAGTAATTGGCTAACATAAAATAGACTGAATTTGACTTCCGTTTAAAAATTCATCTCTTTCATGGTCACAAAACGCTGTAGTAGAATGATAGATAACTGCAATAAAAAATTTATCGCGCCAGTGCAAAGAAGAATCTGCTATAGTTCAATAGATTAGAGGTTCTAATTTTGGGTGAAGTAATGATGAGATAGAAATGTACGTATATTTTTTAATCAGTTTAGAAAATGTGCTCAGAGTAAAAAGAGTCAATTCTAGTGTCTTCAAAACCAAAGTCTTAAAAATAAAGCACTCTAATAGAGCGATATATTTATTCATTTCCTGTCCTCTCTGGAAAAGGTTTAAAGCCAAACACTAATAAAATTGATATTAACGGTGATTAAAAAAAAAGGTTTCCTAACAATATAGAAAGTGTTATCACGTTATGATTGAAAAAAATCGAATATAATATATTATCAGTGTTTCCTTACTGATATTTGTAGTTATAAGAGGATTTTGAAAGATTGGAATTGTATCAATTTTGATAACATATTTATTCAAAATATGAGAATGGGTACTCATGCACTAATAATAGTCGTACGTCAGAGATAAAAAACGCCTCGTATCGGGGTTGTCCTCTCACAATTCTCGTGACTCGATACATTGTTAGACGACGATATTTTCTACGAATTAACTAAAAATAAGTGTAATCGTAATTGACTTTCATTCTCTGATAATAAAATGGCATTTTCCACTTCAAAAATGGTTGCTGCGGTCAGGTCCTATATCCGAAGCTCCTTCCCATTCAAAGGGTTCAGAGGTTCACTCCTCACAAACATGAGTCCGTGAATCATGTGTCCTGAAAAAAGGTAGGGAACCAAGAATGATAGCCTTCTACTTGTATCCGACTGAGATTTTTGACTTTTTGAGGCATTCCGGTATGATCTCAAGATTCGACAGTGAGAAGGGCACAATGGACTGATTATTCCAAGGACCAGATGATAACGTAGCACTTGTATCGTTGTATCGATACAAGTTAGGATCACATAAACTTGACATACAACAGCAAAGGTCATATAGGTTTCAGGCGGTTCCTAGTAAGCCCAGCATCTGGTATGAGGAACCCCAACACCCTTCAAACAAATACTGTTATTGATTGTGTTAAATGTGAACAATTTGACAATCATCGTATGTGATACATCCATCCATAAAATCAAATTAAAAAAAACTTTAATCCTTCCGAGCAAAAAGTTCTGATCCTTCTAAATATTTCTCTACAAAATGATAGTCATGTAACAGAAGAGCTAGTACACGCTGAATATGGTACAAGTAGAATAATTGTCTGCGTTCAATTCCTGCAACTTTGGCACTTACACAAGTTTAAACGTACTGGAGTGTTACAACAAGAACCTCACTTATTAATGAGAAAACAAGGTTTTCTTGAAAAAGGCATTAAAATATTTTTTGTCCCATGTTATATGAACTATTTTTTTAGAAAGGACCCACTCTAAATAACAATTTATCAATCAATAAAATACTATTCATTTCCAACTTTTTATTTATTGCCATATAATAGACACTTTCTGAGAAACTTCAAACACTACTTCAAACTAAAAAGTTGATCCTACCTCAGCACCACTACCTAAGCCCCACTACCTAAGCCCTTAAGCATACCTAAGCAGCTAGATTGACTTAGCTCGCTTGATTCCACAGAGTTTGCGGGAAATAAACTTCTAGGGGTGAGCCCTTGTGGGTTCCAAGAACTTTTCTGCTCCAGGCTAAACACCTATTGGTGGAAGAAACTATCAATATCACTATCGCCGCCAGAACCAGAGTTTGCAACACATGGAGGGTCGGAGAACAGTCAAAGGGAGAAGCGTTTTCATCCCCAAAAACCGAGATTTGTAGGTTTCTAAATATAACAAGCCTATAACACGCTTAAATTTGTATTAGAACCTGTTCATCGGTGGATGTGTAACGCAGGTCACGCAAGGCATTTTATACAAGGCAAGGCATTTTATACAACATCGCATGCGATCATCTTGCATTTGCTCATCTTTCATTTGCTCACATGCCTTGTAGTACCCGACAAAATAGTGAGATGCCTTCAACAACTGAAATCACTCTGGTGGACTCAATTTACCATACCATCTGGTCAGGTCAGAGTCAAAACAGAGTGGCTAACTTTCAGAACTGGTGTATTTCAAGACGATTTCCTCGGTTCTCTTCTTTTCTGCATCTCCGAAATACTCGAGGGTATAACTGTGGCACCATCGGAAACCTAGGGCATAAGGTCGCCGGTTGTTTTTTATGGATGATCTTAAACTTTATGCCTGACTGATTTCCATCAGTCTTTGGAAGTGGTGCAAGACTACACGCATGCTATTGTATAGCACTTAAATATATAAAGGAGAAGTACCTTACTTTCTGTGTATTGCTGGAGAAGTAGAACACCTAAAACAATACATTACTGATCTAGTCAAAAGACCTTGTATTATCATGACTATAGCCGATATACAACTATCTCTAAGGCTACTGGAATTTAGTGCAATTGCACAATAATGGCATAAAACATCATAATTTCAACGCAGTACAAAAAAAAAATTATCATTAATGTCATGACAAACATCAAAAGGCAAAGTTCTTGGGCAGAGCTTTGAAGTAGGTAAACCACAGATACATATTTCGAATTTTACATAAACGAATTTTACAAAATGTCGTATTTTTGTTGCAGGACATCTAACTTGAGTGGTAGTGTCTTAATTAATGGCAAAGAACGCAATCTGAGGAGATTTCGAAAATTATCATGCTACATCATGCAGGACGACTGTCTCTCCCCGAACCTCACAGCAAAGGAAGCAATGTGGATATCAGCGAATCTCAAGCTAGGCAAAGGAATCACTCGGTCGGAAAAAAAAGTAGTAATAAATGAAATCATGGATACTCTAGGACTTGTGGACTGTAAAGACACGAATTCAGAAAGTTTGTCAGGGGGGCAGAGAAAACGGCTATCGATCGCTTTGGAGCTTGTGAATAACCCTCCGGTGATGTTTTTTGATGAACCTACCAGCGGTTTGGATAGTTCTTCGTGTTTTCAGTGTTTGTGTCTGTTGAAATCATTAGCGGCCGGTGGAAGGACGATAATCTGTACGATACACCAGCCCTCCGCTCGACTTTTTGAAATGTTTGACCTCCTCTACATGTTAGCTGAGGGTCAGTGTATTTACAGAGGTCCAGTGACAAATCTAGTACCTTTTTTGTCCACCATGGGGCTCGTCTGCCCGAGTTACCACAATCCAGCTGACTACGGTAAGTAGTCTTCACTTGGTGCCTTATCAAAGTGTATCTCAACAATTGATGGTTCATTATAATATAATATAAACATACATTTATTATTTTTAAGAAATTATTTCTTTTCAACAAACACATTGTCATGGGTTCACTGTTTCAGTATGTTTCTTCCATGACCTTCCAGTTCTGTTTTCCAAGGGTTTTGACGATACTGACAGATGCCTGGAGATATTTATAGATCAAGTAACCTACCTGCTGACGTACAATGAATCCACTAAAATAAACATCCACCAATAACATACCTCTTGATTTTAATGCACTGTTGAGGAATTAAGCGGTCAGCTGAGTTCTCTTCATTTCATAGTCAAACACTTGAATGGCTAAAGCTTAGTTTGGGATTGAAATTGGCTCAATAGATTCTTTATGAATTCTCATTGTTTTGACTACATTCCTTTGATGCTAACTAAAAATGAAGCAGCTAGAAATGAAAGTTCAAAAAAGATGATGTTCTAAAATACTTCATATCCCATTCGTTCATTCCACAGTGATACTACTTCCCAGAACAGCAAGGCGAAACTATTGAATTGGGAATGTTCACTTATCTTAATAGTTTTTAGCATGGATCCTTGCCTTATTCAATTAAGAAGGATTGAAGTAGAAATCCGAAGGTTTCATCGTGACCTCACAAGCTGCATATAGTGTAACATCCTCCACCCCCTTCTAGTCTAATTATAAGCGTCTCAGTCAGTCCTTGCTGAGACTTCAAGATATTACCTACGTTTACGCAGTCAACGCATGTAACACTGAAGGTTGCCGCAGTAACAGATGAAACGTTTGGTACAAGTTCCTATCGACCACCGTCTACCCTCCGGCTGTGAAAGCCATGTTCTTATATTCTTTCGTTGTTCTTATTATATTTCGTAATTACAGTGATGGAAGTGGCATGTGGAGAACACGGAGACTACGTACAAAAATTGGTAGTTGCAGTAAACGCAGGACGATGTGATGTTCATTCATCACCAGATCCTAGCAAATCCAGCAAACGTGCTTCTAATGACATCACGAAGGAAGGTGGCTTTTTCACAAACGGTGGTGGAGACACACTATCTTTGCCGAATGGCTCAGCAAAAACCCCAACCACCCCTGCCACTTGCACAACATCGCTATTGGATTCGTCGGAAAAAATTTCGATGCCTGAAAAAAATGGTAAGTATTTTATATTTGTTTAGATTTCTCATCGATCATACATTTTTCAGATAGAACATCAATGTGTTTAGTTAGTTAGGCAGTTAACCTCACTCCCCTGTAACGATTATAAAAACACGACCTCAAGTGTTTTAGTTACTGTTGGTTTGTTCAAAGATACATAGAAACCCTAACGTTTTTACAGATTTTTGTCAAAAACTCTCGACGCGAGAAATGAAATTAAGCCAACTTTGTCGTGGGTATTTTCTTCCGATCTTTAATTTATGAACCATAATTAAAAAAAATGTTTTACCTAATATCGGTGTATTCTAATATAAACAACATTGAGAATTGAATGACAACTTGACATTCTCAAGCTACGTCACTTAAATAGTAGAAGTTCTCTTTATTGTGTAGTTACTGGAACAAAACTAAGAACGTCATTTTGGACTGTGTAGGTAGACTAATTTGGGGAAAACAGACAACTAGAAGTGGGGTCTGGCATTATAGGGGCACTACAACTTACATAAACGAGTCGCTTTCTCAAACATTTTGAGTAAATGTTATCACTCAAAATGATCAATATCATTTTGTTGACATGATGGAATGAGATAATTAAATGAATTATTTTTACATAGAAAATTCCCAATTTATTACAGCTGGTAGCATTGCAGTGAAATTGTTTGAATTAATTCATCAATATAATTTTGAGGTCATCGAGAAGAAAGAAGAAACAATCCTAGGTTAGTTTCTAGTATAATCCTTTGTCCATTAACAACACCATTATCCGTTACTCTCAGAAATACTGCATTCTGTTGGGTAACCCGTTTGATATCGGAACTGTAAAAAAATCGTGAACCACATAAAATCCATTTCTCAGTTTTCAATTTCGAACTAGAACGTGAGACTAAATAAAAAATTGACTTCAACAAAAGTTCGAACACCATTAGGTTGGGTTAGGTTAGGTCCTAAGTGAGTGGGTTCATTCGACCCTCCACCGCAACCCGCAAGGGTTTATTGTGGCTCACACCTATTCAAACTAGACCAAATAAACCCTGCTCCTTAACGAAGCTGATAAGGTTGTATGGTGAGTGGTCTTACAGGTCAGATGGTAAGACTACCGCTATGCCGAACTCTAAAAACCTGATTCGGTCCCCAGCGGGGCAGACACAAAGTGTATGCTCTGCCGTTTCATCGTTAATGAGGTAGTCGGATAGTCAAGGTGATACCCACGACAACCTTCCCATATGAGGATTTTTGCACGTCTGCTATGCCTTAGATTCAACCGTGCAGGGCTTTTTCGCCTCTGGTTTTGGTGAATCATCACTTGAGCGCAAACATTTGTTAACCTGCTCATGAGGAGTTTGTTCCTCCACCTAAGACAGATTCTGCGTACGCCGCTCAAAAATTTGCTGCAAAGCGGTTTCATAAGGTCCCCCGCTTTTGAGGAGACGACTCAGTCATTTCCTGGCTGCACCACCAAACTTTTTTTTAGGTTCAGTTATTGAATCAGGAGTTGAAGAGTTGAAAAGCTCTCGCTCTTGATCTAAATTCACAGGGAGGTCAGTTGGAGTCGTAAGTTCGACATCCATCTCCTCTGTAGACTCAGCGTCAGAAAGAATTTTTAAGTTTACTCTGTCCATTAAAGTCCCACGAGTGGCTAGGGAAAGTTATGGATAGGGTTATGGCTAGGAAAAGTTATGGAATAACAGAACCACAAGTGATTCTGTCATTGCCGTATCCAGCGGGGCTATGTGGGAGCAGGTATCCGATGGCCGGTTATTTGCTCAACCACCACATCCCATGCCAATGCACTCGCCAAAAACAGCATCCACACTGGTTCAGGCAGTGAAAGATGAACAAGGACAGCCAACCCACCATTAACTTGCATACAATGGTATAACCAATGATATCGGAACTGTAAAAAAAATCGTGAATTACATAAAATACTTTTCTGAGTTTTCAATTTCGAACTAGAAAGTGACACTAAAAAATGAAAATTTACTTTATCAAATGTTCTTCAGTATAGTTGGCTTGGCTGCACCTAGTAGACTTTTGATTTCAAACGTCCCCAAGGAAAAAAGTCAAGTGGGGTTAAATCAGAGTAATTGGATAGCCAGTCTGTAGACCATTTTCTTTCCATCCATACAATTATCGAGAAACTTTCGCACTGGTACTACACAATGAGGAGAAACCCCATTTTGTTAAAAAATCACATTTCCCAACTACACCTAATGGTACTTTATATTGTCGACTTCAGATTGTTTATAAGTTCATAAGCCAAAACAGTTTGTATATTTCCCAAAAACGTCAAAGAAAAATTTTAGTTCAATGTAAACCGTTATTATCAAAAGTTGGTATTGATTTTTACTTTAACATTTTTTATAACTTCCATACACCAGCATAATTTCTGTCTGGAAGTTTTGTACCAAATTAATAAATAAAAATTTTCAATTTCAATTTTTTTCAGGATTTCCCACCACTGGCTTTCAGCAGTTTATTATTTTGCTCAAAAGGAGCATGTACACGATTCTTGTCGACAAGACTTTAACCAGGATGAGATTAGCTTCACATCTAGTGATAGGATGTTTGATAGGACTGATTTATTACGATATTGGCCATGATGCTTCCAAAGTGCTAAGTAATGCTGGCTGTTTATTCTTTTGCGTTATGTTCATGATGTTTTCTTCGATGATGCCGACAATTCTAACATGTAAGTTTACTTCATATGATCGATGTATTCATAGGAGTCGTGGACAATAACTTTCGAAAAATTATAGTCATAAGGCATTACATTCATTCCCAAGAAACTACAATGGTTCATACAGGGAATTATTTATACAAGAAATATTCATATATAAATACACTTACATAACTTCAAAGGGAGTTATTTCAGAATTAATAACAACAATTTCAGAATTAATAACAAATAAAAAACAATATGAATATGATATTGAGAATTATTAAAACAAATTGTTTTTCAATGCTTGAATTTAAAGGGGTATATTTTTTTGTATAAAAATGGAGAAGTAGAAAGAGAAAACCTTTCTTTCCCAAGAATCGTTTAATGCTATTTTAAATTTTTCTCTATTGGAAAATTGTTCAACATCATCTGGTAATTCATTATATGCAATCATTCCTTTGTGAAATATAGATTTTCTGGAAAATGCAGATTTGAGATTTTGTGTTAACAGATTATTGAGCTGTGTTATTTGATGATAATGTAAATTTCTATTATATGTAAGTATAATATCACTTGGAGTCTGTGTGAAAAAATATATGTCCTACTATATATCCCATATACAGTTATCAATAGTTTTAGTTAAAATATGGTTGTGATATAAATTTTGGCGAGACTAAAAATTACACCATCCCCGAAAAACATCTTACTTCTTATATACCTAATATGAACAGATGGATGGTTATCGGTTATGCAATTTTAAAAAGGCCGATATACAATTCTAAAAAAGGACTTGCCGAAAAAATAAATGGTTCAATATTGAAATATTAGATGTCAAAAGACTTCGTCAATGATCAATCAATAAATCTGTTTCTAATTGAATAGAGCTGGCCGATATTTCATGAAAATCCATATTGAAACTAATTAATATTATATGATTTTCACTATTTATTGATAGTAAAAATCATACAATAAACTGTTTCAATCAGTTTTCATCTATTTCTCAGGAAAAAAGAAGAGAAATAACAGAATATGAGCGGTAAATAAATTGAATGCAAGAGAGCGCCCAAAAAATGTTTCTTTTGTGTATGGGCAACCATGATATTGTTTCACTAAAAACGTGTATAATATCAATATAAGAATAGGGTAGGAATACCCTATTATGAATTGCTTGAAACTCCCAATTTTTGTAGTCTCGAGGTAAGGCGTAAATATTATTCATTTCTCTTTTATTCAAAATCATAAACAATATCATTACCTGCTCTCAGTTGTTACTTATATTGAATTTTTGGATTCCTGGTGTCACCTTTTATCTCAACACTCCGCGAACAAATATAATGAAAAAATCCCCAATTTATACAATGTGTGACACCTTTTAATTCTGTTAGTCGTGTCCTACATTTATTCAACTACCAGATGATACAAATCAAAAGACATTTCTTAGCTAAATGACAATTCTGTTTTTATTTTATTTTTTTTTAATATAGATTCACAAATTATATTATGTAGGTACATATTTGTAAATGCCACTGTTTCTCCCTATTCTGTAATTGGCTTCATTCTGTAGAATAGTTTATGAAATAAATAAATAATAAAAATGAATAGTGTTGAATCTAATGAAGCATAATTCAAATTTGTTAAATAATAAATAAAGGAACATAAATGATAAAAGCCATAACAGAAAATAATATCACAGTATAATAATTTCATTACTTACAATAATACTGATTCTTGGCTCACTGCGCAGGGTCTTACCTTTTAATTTGTGATTTCTAACACGGGTTGGACAATAGGAAAAGAAAGTCGATCGTCTGGCCTTGCGGTTTGAACCACCGGTTTACACAGCGGTCGATGGAGTGTGTCGAGCAAATCACCCACGTCAACCCACCAGGCTACGGAATAACACCAAAGAAAGAATATTTTCGAAACAACTACTTTTATGTGAACTTTGAATTATACAAAACACAATTTTCCCATTCAGTTTGTACTCCAAACGTTCGTTATGGAATTGAATCAGTTATCATTCACCGCATTGCTACACAATATAGTATAAGAAAGACGTAAAATTTCACTTACATGGAACTGTGTAATCGTCAATGGCGGGAATCAATGTTTCGAATTAAGACACTTGCATTATTGCCTCTTCAGCACCAATCTGGATAATATTACAAGATGAAGCACTCAATTCATTCATAATATTAAGACATAATATTAAGACATAATATCGTAATGTAATGATTTACTACATAACTGTCTTGTTCCGAAACATCGATGTCCGCCATTGAGGATGATAGTGTTCCATGTAAGGGAAATTTTATCTCTTTCATATAGTAAAGTGTGTAGCAATCCTGTAAATGATATCTGATCCAATTCCATTACGAATGTTTGTTTATATGAAAGTAGTTGTTTCTTCCCATTTATGTCTGAAAGTAACTTCTATGCTTGATCTACACAGCTTTGAAATTACTTATTTTGAAGTTGATTGCTTTTTTCCTTTTGGAAGTTTCTCACATTTTTTGGTATAAAGATGGAGTCGAAACCTTTCTCTCCCAAAAATTATTCTCTCCTAAAAATATACTCCTTTTAATCCAAACAAGAGATATATTTCATAGTAAATGAGATTTGCAAACATTTCAAAATAATTCAACAATGTTTGACAAAGTACCTAATTAAATACAAAATAGTAGGTACATGATAATTAATGAGGCGATCATGTTATTTGTAAGAGTAACCATATCTTTTAGAGTACCTAAATGGGATAAAATGTGATTTTCAAAAATAATATGTTTCATGTGCTTTATATGTCGAATTGTAAATCAAACTGTCAAATCTAGATATTATCAATCAATAAATTTTTTAGACTCACAGAGTATTTGTGTTCGATATTATAATGTATTTTTTCAATTTAAATTTTTCATAGAAGTTATTGAAGTTCTGATTTTTTTTCAGTTCCTCTTGAAATGTCGGTGTTTGTCAGAGAACATTTAAATTATTGGTACTCGCTGAAAGCATATTATTTGGCTAAAACTTTAGCTGATATACCATTTACGGTGAGTTATCAGATGAGCAAATTGTTCCTGTCATCACTAATTGTATAAATTTCAGCTAGCTTTAACGACTAGCTACATAATTGGGGTATATTTCATAACTTCACAGCCTTTAGAAGCAACCAGGTTCGGGATGGTTTTAGGAGTTTCTGTTCTGATAGCACTGGTTTCTCAAAGTTATGGCTTACTTGTAGGCGCTGCTTTCAAAATCGAGGTGAGTATTTGCCTGTCACTTCTTATAACAATAAAAAGCGGTCAAACAATAGTGAGTTCCGCTCATGAGACAACCACTGAAGAATGAATTTAAATCAAAAATGATATGAAATTATGTGTTACTGTTGCAACTAATTTTATAAACTAATGAAAAACACGGCATACGTGGACTTTTCAAAAAATAGGGTGAATGTTCAAATTTTGCGGGCTATGTTTATTCTATTAGCGATTTTTCAATTTTTTTTAGGTTGTAACATACACTCGTCTCGAATATATGTTCACAAGTTTCAGCTGTTGAGCATGTTTAGTTTGTTGGTTTGAGGCATGAAAGTTGGAAATGTTTCGCGTGTTCGACGATTTTCTGTGTAAAAAAATGGAATTGATTGCTCAAAAACACTTGAAATGTTGATTGTGGCGTACGGTGATTGTACTCTGAGCCAGAAAACTGTTTACAAGTGGTACAAGCTTTTCACAGAAGGTCGAGAAGATGTTAATGACGATGATCGCCCTGGACGCTCCAGCACATCAACAACCGATGAAAATGTTGAGAAAGTTAAGAAAATTGTTATGGAGAATCATTGAATGACTTTTAGAGAAGTTGCTGAGGATATCGGCATATCGGTTGGCTCATGCAATGTTGGTCATGAAGCATGTGGCAGCGAAGTTCGTTCAAAAATTTCCGAAATTTGTCAAAAAAAAAACGTCGCATAAGCATCACTCAGGAATTGTTGAATGGCGTCAACGGCGATCCAGATTCGCTTAAACGGGTAATAACTGTTTAAAAAATTCTGTTTAAAATATGTTTTTCCGTTAATCAGATGTCGCTCCCATACGAACGACAACTCTCAGAAGTTAAGAAACTTGTGCGGGCTAAGTACTAACGAGGTCTTACCTTTTAACGTGTGATTCCTAACACGGGCGACGAATCATAGTTATATGGTTATGACATTGAAACCAAAGTCCAATCCACACAATGGAAGAGCCCAAGAGAGTCAAGACCAAAAAAAGAACGCGCCAATTTCGATCAAATATCGAGGGTTTGATCACTGTTTTCTTCGACTATCGTGGCTTACTGAATCTGGAGTTCTTGCCACATGGTCGTACGGTCAATAAGGAGTATTATCTTGAAGTTATGTGCCACTTGCAATAGGCAATACGAAAAGAACGTCTGGTATTGTGGAAAAACAATGCATGGCTTTTGCATCACAATAATATACCTATCCACTTGTCATTGCTTGGTTGTAATTTTTTTGCCTAAAATAACAACGTAAATATGCCTCAAACACCGTTGACGATTGGATGATAAAACAGAATCGCCGAGAAAGCTCAAGACACAAGAGCTCAAGTATATTATTTTATGTGAGTGGAGGCTACTTTGAAAGAAAAAAATTTGAAATTGATGAATAAATAAATATTTTTTGATAAAAATTAAAACTCACTTTATTTTTTGAACAGACAGTTCGTTATGTAATTATCTCAGTTATCATTCACCGCATTGCTACACAATATAGTAAATGAAAGAGGTAAAATTTCACTTACATGGAACTGTGTAATCGTCAATGGCGGGAATCAATGTTTCGAATTAAGACACTTGCATTATTGCCTCTTCAGCACCAATTTTGTCTAGCAAAGTTCTCGGTAAGAGCGAAATAAAGTGCAGCGCCAATTTCCTTCTTTTATCATAGGCATGCGCTATTATAAAAACGAAATTAAATATATTATAGACGATTTTATGGTAAGTTACTTATAACCAACTAAAATGTTAACAGCGAATAAATTAAACACAATATCAATTTCCAATCGTTTATACTAATACGATGCCCGTGGTACCTTCGAATCCTTCGATACTACAGCACTGAACGCGTTTAATGAGAATCTCATCCTAAGAGCGGTTGAAGGTCCCCGGCAACTCGGGCGTATCACATGGTAAGAGAGCCTACTGGTTGTATTATTTTACTGGGCTTCAGACTCACGTTGATTCCGTTTCTTATGTATTATTTTGTATACAGTAACATATAACGTTCTTATGAAATTTTTAAAATACCTTTTGTGGCCCACAATGTAGCAACTTGAGGCAACTTGTGAAACATTTTTAGAATCACCTTAACAAGATAAGTCGAAAAATTAAAAAATAAATAGGGTCTTTTCTTTAAAGAACGGCGATTACACCAATACTCGAAGGCATGCACTCTGTAAGACACATTGTATAATAAAAGGAAAAAAAGAATACTCTCTTAATAATAATAGCAATGTAACAATAAACTTCAATTCTAAATTATCTCAACATATATTACTTGGAACTATTATGTAATGACATCACAATGTTGTTGTTAAAATAGTAGAAACTGTAGTTGCTACTATCTACAAATATATTTTGATATTTTCAGGGAGGGGTGTTCCTAGGACCAATCACCACCATACCTATGGTTCTCTTCTCAGGATTTTTTGCAAAACTGGATGACATCCCATATTACCTAAAATGGCTACCGTATATGAGTTACCTAAGATATGGGTTTGAAGGAAGTATGATCGCTATTTACGGTTTAGGAAGACCAAAATTGGAATGCAATGCTGAATATTGCCCTTTCAAATATCCGAAGACTTTCTTAAGCCACATGGCTATGAAAGACGATATGAGAACATATTTGATAGATATAGGAATACTGATATCTATTTTTGTGATACTGAGAATATGCATTTATTTCGTTCTTAGAATTAAGTTACTTCAGATCCGGTGAGAAGTGGAAAACTAGTGTGTTGAATTTTTTTGAGGGATGTTGAGTCATTCGCAAAAAGTCATCTTGCTCGTACCGAAGTCTTATATCAGGGTATTGGTGTTCAGTTCAGTAGGTACAGATACGGAACACTATTATGTATAATTATAAATACATAATTTCTAAGTATCGGTTTCAGTTCGAAAAAATTGAAATCTTCGATTTCGTAGACCTTTTTTCTTTCTATTACTATCCACTCCCGTGGATAGTCTCACTCATATTGGTCCGACCTACCTCTATTATAATGAATCGATAACTAAAAGTGTATATGAACTAGTATGTGCTTTAGAAGAAGTAGTAAGTATATAGAATATTATCGACAATATTTGGAGCGTGCTCTCTCACCGCGTTCTACGACTATTTTGCCTGAGCACTATCCATTGACATTACAAGAAAGTTTACTCCTACTATTTTATATTTCATAGAACTCTACAATAATTATTTCAATTTATACTTTTCCTGAATATGCGTATGGTTCGATAAGTGAAAAACTACACAGCAAGCTTAAACGATACTTAATGAATAGAATTGAAATTTGACATTTTGTGAATAAAACATTATGTCCCGGTGCTCCACCGAGACAAGAATATCTTCTAAGTGTTTCAATCCACACATTTCGAAGAGGATGAAAGAAATATCAACCAATCTCTTCATTGTTAGATTTTCACTAAACAGTTTTACAAAAACGCAACTCACGTTCCGCTATACAATAGTGTCCTCAGTAAGACACGCCTGAAGAAGATATTGTCTGGCGAAACATGTGTTGCGTTTTGGTAAAACTGTTTAGTGAAAATCTCACTATAAATTTTTTTTGAATACGTTGTGAATTTTCATCAAGTATCGGCCGATTCCATCTACCAGTTTATTTGAAGAAAAGCCTCAAGGTTTGAAAAAATCGGTATAATGAGTAGATTTGTAAGTAGACAATTTGGGAAGAAATCAATGACATTCTAGTTTCTCACTATAGATCAATAATATTTTCTATATATTTGAATCTACCTATAAAAGCTTCAGGGTTTCTTGGCACTCATGTTCATATGTTTTCTACATGATTCATTGATATTATTGCTAGTTTAATATCTAAACGAATTTAAATGTTGGCCTGATTGTCTTTTCATAGAAATATCGTAAGTTGCTTAAATTGCGATTGTGTTTGAGATTTTAAAAGCAGAGTGCCCCTAGTTTCAGGTTAGCCGATATTTCACGTTTTTTCACTGAGAGAATTTCAGATGGTATTGAGTAATTTTTCGCTTCAGAATCATGAGCATTATATTGCAAGAATTAAGTAACCCTGTTTATATTGCAAGAAGCAACTGATCCTGTTTGAATTATCCTAGAATAATGTTTTTTCCTGAAGTTTCCGAATTTTATTGTATTGAATCATCCCATATTCAAACAAGTGTGAGAACTGTAAGAGAGTTGAAATAAAATCGCTTCTTTTTTAAATACCTGATAAATTAGGAGATCGGTACACTGCACTTTGTTGGTAAATACAATAGTCCTTCTCAAGTGGAGAAACTTTACTTGTCCAGTCAATTCATAGAGTCAGATTCCCTCAATGGGACATGTTGCAAATTGTCAAAAATTTCGTGTTATGGGATCAGTTGATCAGGCACTAAAACTTGAAAGAGAAGTTGAAGAGATAGCCGATGACATTTTCCATGGTGAATGAAATTTTCTTATAAATTATCAAATCAGCGATACAATGATATAACTTTCTAATAGAAAGAAGAGATCCACAAACGTGGTTGGATAACATCTCTCAAAAATATTCAAAATTAAATAAAATTTGTAGTCGCATCTTCCTTTTGACACGTTAATTACTTGTAGATTGCATAATAGAACATTTCATTATTTGTGATGGGATTCTAATATTTGCTACGGTTTTTTTTATTTGCTGGTCCATAAAAAAGTCCGATAAATTATAATTCTCGTAAAATCATTGAAAAACTGACACTTCTCAACCAACCCCTACCAGAATTCTATTCCTAGTACAAAATGAGATTCCAACCAGGAACAATGAGATTTTAGGTTAGTTTTATAGGAATCCTATGTAGAATTTATTTTAATTCAAATGTTGAGTTATTTTTTTTGATGTGATATATACTGTGGTTAATTTTAGTGATGGGTTTATGAAATTTAAATTGTGATCACTTCTACAGTAAAGGCCTACAATTCACATGGATCAAAATATTTATTTATATTCCATATGCTACCAATAGATGAGACAGTATTAATATTAGTGTATAATCACATGTATAATACTGTACATTGAATGTTTAAAATACCTTTACTCTATATCATTGCTTTTATTAGTCGTTTAATAGTATCAAATAAATAAATACTTGCAATCAATACTCATAATTTTGTTTCGTGTATGTTTGCAAATTCACACGATTGCAATGTTTATTTTTATTTATGTACATATTCAGACAAATACATTTTTATACCTATAAAATATGTTTCTTTTCTTTCTCGCACTTTTGAATAAATAAATCCCAAATGCAATGTTTCTTTGAAAGTGATTGACAATGAAAATGATTTGAAATCCCTGAAAGACCTATAACAAACCTAAACAATCGAAACATCGTGAAGTAACTTGGCTTGAAACCTTTAAATTTTCATTCCTTTTTTATTGTTCAATTTTCAATTGTACTTTCATTTTAGGGTGTTTTGCTCAATATAATTGTTATTTTCAGTTTTTAATTTTGATTTTATTTATTCTTTCAGGGTTTTCAAATCATTTTATATCATTTCAGACAATAGAAGTCCGAACTAATGAAATTTACCCAAATGCACTATTATACAGTGTGACCCATTTTTAATGGAAACACCCCCCTAAAATTTGAAGTTGTAAATCGATTTTAATATTTTTTTTAAATGTCAAGTACTAAAAGGTCTACTTTGGGACAAAATTTGAAATGTTTATTAAAGTTTCAGGGCATACTACGATATTTTTTCTTAGTCGAAAATCGGGATTTTTTNTGACTGTTAGTTGTGTGAGTTTTCGAATTTTTGAGTTGTCATAACTTTGTTAATAATGAATATTTTTTCATGAAATTTTGGTCACATTTGTTTAAAGGCACTTTGAATCCAGTGGCGTAGTGATTTTTTCAATTAAAAAAATCGCTAATAAAAAATCCCGATTCTCGACTAAAAAAAAATCGTAGTATGACCTGAAACTTTAATAAACATTTCAAATTTTGTCCCAAAGTACACCTTTCAGTACTAACATTTCAAAAAAAAAATATTAAAATCGGTTTATAACTTCAAATTTTAGGGGGGTGTTTCCATTAAAAATGGGTCATATAGGTTATTTCAAAAGTTTTGTCCGTTTTAGTGTCATGTGTTTTTATAGCTTCATATTTCAATAAATATTTATTCTACTGTGTCATGATGCTTTGCAAGCGAGCCTGGCGGAGAATGAAAAACGCAGAAGAGAAAGATGATTTCAATATAAGTTTTAAAGGAACAAGAATTCATTAGTTCATCAATATTTTATCATCCATCATAGCCCTGCTCCTTCTGAGTTTTTGACACATTTTGTTAGGTATTAGACAACCTTTATGCCTTGTGAGGAAGGACACGAGAAAATATCTTTCTAACCTTATTTTTGAACACTCTGTTTTCTCGAAACGGTGTATGATCATCTTCAGTCTGTGGTAATACACAAACATAGGGCTCATTTCATCTGTTGAAACGAATGCAATCCTTTTAAGGTAAATATATTCAAATTGATAAAATGATGGAAAAATGTTCAAGGCTGCGCCACCAAAACAAAGTTTTACATCTATAAAATCCTTTTTTTCCAACAGCAATAGAACTAATATCCACGAAATTAACATCTAGGTGTAATCATTCTTTAGTTCATCATTCTCACAATTTCAATCACTGTCATTGTCCTAATCAAATTGAACCAATGAAATGATATATTCAAATATGATTGTGGCTATAATATGGAAACTTTGCATAAATGCTTCTACAGAGATTAGTATGTTCAATTTGATATCATGATTATGATATTAAATAGACCCTAACTCAACTAAGACAACACAAATGAATATGTAAATCAAATGAAAGTCACTAATATAAGTACAAGAGACCGAAATGAAAAATGGATTGTTAGACATCACTGATTCACATAATCTCTCGAAAATAAGACAACAATCCTTCAATCAAATCTCCCACTTGAATGCCAACCGTGTATATATATATATATAGTCGATAGCCAAGTGGTTCGGCGTGGGTGATTTGTTCACTCACTCGAATTGACTGATGTGTTGGTCGGTGGTTCAAGCCCTAGTCTGAACGATCGATCTTCACTTGCTATCGTCCTACCCGTGTTAGGAATCACACGTTAAAAGGTAAGACCTCGNAAAAACTGTCGTATTTTGCTCTAAGAAAGTGTTTTTCTTTGTTTAACATAGTTTCTATCTTTTTTGGAATTACTGAGTTTCGAAAAAAAAAACAATACATTTTCAGTTCATCGTTTGAATTGAAATTTAAGTTATCAAACCCAGCCAGTATTAAGTATCAGATTCATTATAGAACTCTATCAAATGGATGGAAATGTGAAAGTTCACTAGTAGCCATCATCAACTAACACTCAGACATCAATCAAAATTACGTCATTGCGTATTCCCTTTTTCCAAATATTACAAAAGATCGTTTCCATCAATTAACTACTTGATGACTCAATGAAGGGTGTCTATGTCGCAGCCAACTGGTGTAAGTAACTTTGACTGAACAACGCCATTCAATCACGATCATACATCGTTTAGCTGACTTGTTGACTGCAACATTCAACACTACAGCTAGACGACGCTTAGCCAACTTAACTAGGGTGACCATTTGTTTGGTATGTAACTTGAAAGAATGGGAAAACTTTTTGTAATTTCTTGGATTAGGTTTAAGAGGTGACCAAAAGTTCATTCTCAATATGAATTAGAAACTTAATAATTACGAATCCGAAAGAAGAAAGCGGCGCTTTCCTTTATTAACAAAGCCTTTTTCACAAGATGAACTATTTAAAAACACAAGCATTCATTCACCTAGCGCCGCGATGAGCGCTGAACTAATTCAATTAGACGGCGGCGTTTGAATCAGCTGCAGTGTTGAACATTTTGAGCGCCTCAAATATTCAGTTGAAAAGCTAGCCGTGTGATTAACTGGCGTTGTTCAGTCAAAGAGCTAGCTGTTTGATTGAACGGCTATTTTAACCAGTTAGCTGCAACATCTATATGAGTTTATGAATTGAAGGTGCCCCTCTAAATGAACTTAGGACAACTAAATTAATCGTAAGTGAACATTACAAATCTCTGGAGTTGTTATACGTCATTTTGTTTAGTGTCGAACTTGGCGAGCTTTTTTAGCCTTGAATCTCTTTGGGCTCTTCCATTCGGACGAATGGACTGTGGTTTCGATGTCATAACCATATACCCATGATTTTTCACCAGCTATGACCCTTGACGTTGACGTCATTCAACAATTCCTGGTCAATGGTCATGCGACGTTTTTTTTTTGTCAAAATTCAGCAATTTTGAAACGAACTTCTTTGCCACACGCTTCATTCCCAAACTTTACGAAAAAATTGCATGGCATGTGCAAACTGATATGTCGATGCCGACATTCTCAGCAACTTCTCCAATAATTATTCTCCATAACATATTTTCTTCACTTTCCCAACATTTGTTGATGTGCTGTCTTCCGACAGTCCGAGTCTCTGCATATGATGATTCAAATGACAGTGACCTGTAAGAAGGCCTGTTAGACATCGTAGTTCATCCCTATTGTAGTCCAACATGTTCGGAATCAAGCTTCGAAGGGTGAATAAACGCCTTGTAGTAAGCCAATCCTGAAAGATTCTGCCAGAAGTCCATAAATCTTCTTGCCATCCAGGTGTTCTGGTCCGATAAAGCTGCTTGCAGCATCCTCGTTTGCAAGGGAGTCAGCAGCCTCAGGCCAGTATGGCCAGGAATCCAGACCAAAGACAATCTGTTAAGTGTTCCTATCGAGAAGAGTCGTTTTTGGCAATTTGCTACCAATTTAGACGTTTTATTGACTTGTGTATGAGGTTGGATTCTTCCAATCTTTCCGCAAACAATTCAATAGCGTGAATTTTCGCTTGAAATACAGTCGCATAGGTTCTTAGGCAGGTTGATATCTCTGTTCTAGGTCTGCGACTGAAAACACCTGCACCAGAACCGGAAGGTGTTTTTGATCCATCTGTGAACCAACAACTATCTGCGCCTAATATTTCCTTCTCCCGGAGGATCCAGTCCTCTCTACTCGGGAACAGTACTTTATAAGGCAGTTCGTAGTTGGCAGGTGGAGGCATAAGGTCAAAGGTCATTTCCAGAAACCTGTGACTTCCAGTCTCAACCAACAGTCTGTTGCACTCTGCATCAAATTGATTAGTGCAATTGGAAATGTTCACAAGTCTATATGTAGTCCATCTAGCCCCTCTCTCTCCACAAAAATGTGGAGAGGAGGTAGATCTAGAAGGATCTCCATGGCCGTTGACGGTGTGGTACTGATGGCACCACTGATGACCAGACAAGTCATTATATTTTAATATGTGAATAATTTCCGAAATGTTTTACAGTCCAATGAAACAATTTACAAATTCTGGAATGTACAACAGCGAAAATCGGCATAACTGCCCAGGTATGTTCCAGTATTAATGTATGTGCGAAATTATTGGTTTTAGAGTAGATCATACATCTGATGATGAATGATCTGTATGATGTAGAATTTATGGCAACCATTCTAAATAATCTCTTTGATGGACTTGACATCATAAGTGGTCTCAATTTGTATATTTCCATAAGGAATACCTGCTCGTAATAGTAAACGGACGTATCAGCGTCTGGTAGCATTGTCAGTGATTACTAGTGAAACTCATGGAACGAGGTTAAGTTAAAAACAAAAACGAGGAGGACTGCCCTCGTAAAGTATGATGGCTCTAAAGACTCAAGAAAGGGAGGAAAATTTTTGAGGGGATGTACACTGAAAAGACACCAGAGGTTAGTTTGAGACATGAACAAGCTAACCCGATTCAGGTCCATGTATTGGATAACACTCTCTCAGGCTGCTGTAAAATTAATATTCAGTTGACGCAGATGTCCTATGAATAACCTGTGTCAATGAAGAAACAAAAGATAGGCTCGGGGCGAGAATCGGGGCACTGGGCAACCTGTAAACTAAGTAATTAAATAACAACAACTCGTCTCTAAAATATTGTAAAATGAAAAAATTGTCACAATTTTTTTTTAATTTCTCACCTTTTAGAAAAATTTGTCAATATATAAATATCACTTGTGATATACTGTTTGGAACCTTTGGTGTAGTAATGAATATTACCGGAGTTTTTTCCCAACACCAAATCGTTATTTTTACACCTCGACACGTGTTTCGATCACCAAGTGATCATCTTCAAGAGGAAGATAAAACTAATAANATTGTGAAACTAATTTTATATAGCTGAAAATTGTTCTATATATAGCTGTAACATTTAAACATACATAAGGACATATTGTAAATAATAGAAAGGCCAATTGTAAAATTAATTTAGGGTGGTACACTTGTATGGGTGGTATTACTGATTACCTACCTGTATGATGTACCTGATTAGTATAAGTAGCTTTAGTTTTGAGTAGTTATTAGTTTTATCTTCCTCTTGAAGATGATCGCTTGGTGATCGAAACACGTGTCGAGGTGTAAAAATAACGATTTGGTGTTGGGAAAAAACTCCGGTAATATAAATATCAATTAAAGAAAAAATGTTCCACCACTGTCACTTACCGCTATTATCAATTAAAGCCATTTATAAATAAACTGCATATAAGTAAGACAATTACCCAACAATCATTTAGTTAAAGTTATTGTTCGTAATGGGAACAGTCAAAAATTTGTCAAAAGTTCCATTGACGGAACAAAAATCCTTCATCAGTTCTTTTGATTATGTTCTCCTGGATATGGACGGTAAGTGAAATTTCCTAACGTTGGAAATATATTTCTTCAGTCTCTGAGTCCTATATGAATTATTGTATTGCAAAACATTCTAACATCGAAAAAAATTCCATTCAAACCTAGAAGTTTTATCATTATAATACATATGAAAATGTACCCTTAGTGTTTTATCGATACAGTTTTGGAAAATATGACTTTATTGATAGTTTGTGTGTGAATAAAAGTTCTGTTTGATTTCAACAAATAACATCAGTGAATATTATTTTTAGTCTACTCATTGCCTGGTGCAACTTATGTTTTGAAGATTTTTTCTGAGATATTACTGAATTTCCAGACTTAATGCAAAGTTCAATAAGTTCTGGCCTCCTTCAGAATTGACATAAAACTAACAGCAGAAGAGGAAATAACAAACCCTCATTTCCATGTTTTCCTTTCAAAAATCCCAGTTATCTCTTAATCACCTGACAATAATGACAAATAATAAATAATGAAATTCCGAAACGGAAGGATGCCGAGAAATATAATAGTTCCTGTTTCTATAGTTGAAGCAAAATTATGCTTCAGAATTAATGGCAAATAAGTCCTACATCGGAAAAATATTTACAAAAAGATTCAATTTTAATGTATGCATGTAGAACAAGTGATACGTTGGGAAAGTTAGTTAAAAATAATAAAGACAAAACATCCAAATTCGAGAAATCAGGAGTATATAAATTAAAGTGTGGAACGTGCCCTACGGTATATATTGATCAAACGGGCAGAACATTTAGGAATCGAATCCAGGAACATCATACGAGTGATGTGAATTTAAAAAAATCAACATATTCAAATCATCTTCTAGAAGAAAATCATATATTTAACGAAGGGTTCGAAATTTTGCACATAGAAAAGGAAGTATTCAAAAAACCTGAGAAAGCTACTGTGCTAGCGAAACATGTTGTGATATTTTTCAAATGAAGTTTGTGGAGATCAAATCGTAAGGTGTAGTTTTTGAAATTACTATGGATCTTCATCAAGTAATGGCCGAATCAATCAGAAAAAGAAAAAATATTTTGATAATACCTATACTAAGGCGCGTAGGCGCNTGTAAAGAATGTGATTATTTAAGGTATCAAAAGTTTTACTATAGTCAAGAAGGACAGCACAACATCAAATCAAATCAAATATGCTTTATTGTCCAAAGTATAAACTCGTTGACAAAGCTAATCATGTATAAATGAGTTTCACTATAATAACTATACATTATACATATACATTGGTTTAATGTATTGTAATGAATCTGAGTGGTGTAAATAAATTAGTTGTGATAGTGAAGTATTGTTAAAATAAAATTGTTTAAGACAGTTAATTATTTAATTCGTTACAGTATGTGTCATACTGAAATATGGTTACGATTTTTAGTGCACAGCTAAAACAATTATAGATAAATAAATGAATATGCATATATAAACGCACATAAATACCACACACATACATATTTATATACATCCTAAATGAACGAATAGTCAGACATAAACAGGTAAATAAGGAAGTTAATAGATAAACTATATAAATAAATAAGATACACAGACACTGTTTTCAAAATTGCAGGAGCTATTAAAAATCAACATAATTTTATTTCAGAATTCCATCCATATCTTTATCAAAGTACTCTTGAACACTATAAAACACCTGGTCAATGAGAACTTGCTTTACAGACTTCCTGAACTGATAAGGTGATTGGATATCTCTAAAACTGGTCGGTGGATGGTTATATATTTTAGCTGCATTATAGATCAATGAGTTTCTAATCAAATTTGATGATGGAATAGACAGTCTCAATTTGTCGCTTTGGCGAGTGAAACCAACATCGTAAGATAATTTGTTCTTATGTACTAGGCACACAGTTTCGAATATGAATAAAGAAGAAAGTGTTAGTAATTTTTGCTCCTTGAACAAAGGTTTACAAGACTCTCTAGGCCCAACTTTGCAAATATCGGATGGCACGCTTTTGGAGAATGAAGACTGTATTGCGATTCAACCACAGCATGGTACACAATTTTTGCGGTTACAATACCCAATTCATTCGATACCATTCGTGAAGCATAGCATCCCGAAGCTATTTTTTTGCTCAGCAAATCAATATGGTTATTGAAATTAAGGTTGCTGTCCAGATTGATTCCAATAAATTTATTTAGTTTTTTGTTTGATATAATATCATTACCCATCGGAATGCCTGACAAGTTGCAATTGAATGATATAAGATTGGTTTTTTCTATATTGAAGGATAGCAGATTGGAGTTGCACCACTCTCTCACTTTAAGAATATCTTGTGCTACTTTGTTTGAAGATCATTTTCATTAGTGCCATGCCACAGGATGGTTGTATTATCTGCAGAATCAATATAAGCTAGATCATTAAAATACAACAAAAACAATACTGGCCCCAGTACCGAGCCTTGGGGTACTCCGTGTCTAACAGAGACAATATCTGACAGCGTGTCAGTTCTCACAAGTTGGATTCGTTGACTCATATATGATTCCATCCAGTGAAGACTTTGATTTCTGAAACAATAATGTTGGAGTTTGCGTAGCAGAATGTCGTGGTCCACAAACGAAAGCTTTCGACAAGTCACAGAAGACTGCTGCGCATTTCTTTTTCAAGTTCAACTCAGCGTAAAGTCTTTTTAGCAGATGGAAAATTGATGTGTTCTTGATAGGCAATTATTTCGTTGATGAAATAACACTGACTCATTGCTTGTTAGAAAATACTCAACCCAAGTAATTTGTGGTACATTTTGGAATTTGTTTCCCTCTGGTTCGAAGAGGTTGGTTGATTCCTGAGTGGAACCAGTAAAGAAGGGAAAATCTACCCAGGACGCAATTCAGATCTTAACTGGAGACATATACAATGCATTAGATAAAGGTATTCCATCAATAACAGTATTTATAGATCTCACGATGGCTTTCGATACCACTGACCATTCCATTCTTCTTCGAAAACTTGAGGACATAGGTATTAGAGGTTCATCATATGAATTATTAAAGAATTATCTAACAGACCGAGGGCAAATATTGAAATCCAAAGNTTATTTTTTTGTGGTGTTTATAAAATATATACAATAAAAAATATATATACAAATATACAAAATGTACACAAGGGTTTCCCCAATGGAGTGGGACAGTGGGAAGGATTGGGATGGGTAGTGAATGGGGTAGAGGGAGTGGCAGGAAAAGACCCCGATACATTTGCGCTCTCAAGAATTCCGCACGGAAGAGAAAAGCGCCTCCACACAGTCCCCCGATGGGACAGTGGGAGACGCCCCCGCTGGTGTTGGCGGTTGGCTCTCCACTCAAAAACGCCTTATATCAGCCTCATCTATAGTTTTCCGCTTCCTGCCGAGGCTTACGCGGAAGTTGTCATTCTGTCGCGTTTCGGTACTTCTCAGAGAATCATTCGTCTGTTTGTTGGTAGCAGTTGTCGATAACACCCTGGAAAAAGTTCATTAAAAAACAGGTAAGAGTATTTCTGCTATCACGTCATCATGTGTGCGTGAATACTCTGTTGTCCTCGTCCATCCCATCAGATACTCCGGTACATGCTTCCGTGCCGTTGAGGGGGTGTAAGAAGCTTCTGGTTTCATGCGTACTGGTGGTGACAGGTATTTGAATAGTTTTCAACTATTACCACAGTATTACTTTGTACCTCGTTTCCATCTTTGAAGTACCGGGTCACGACGAAAGTTGACAGGTACAACAAAGACACGAAACCAGATTATGACAACTATTAAACAAGTTTTATTATTTGGTTTTAGTATTATAACACTAGTGTAATTGATAACACTGGTGTTACTAATCAAGTAACGGGTTAGTAAATTAATAATTCAAAACTAGCTTCGACGGGCTATTTGGCCTTATGGCCAAATATGCCAACAAGGGTTTTTCAGTTGGCTTTTTTGATAAAGCCAATAATGATTCATATTCAAAATTTAACTGCTGGCCGATAAACAAGATTGTAACGGTTTTTTAAATTGTACTTGTTATCTCATTTACAATTGACCAATTAAGTAGGGTTACCAGTGTGTCTTCTATTACTACCGATGAAGTTATGGTGTTAAGCAAAACGCGTCTAGATTTTTTTTTGTAAAAATTGTATAATTATTATTATGGATAGCTTTATTTTCGGGAGATACTTCACAACAATATTTTTTTGATACAAATATAAGCTTTGAATGATTTTTGAATATCTTTGGAATGCGCTTTGAATGAATTTTATAGATATAAAATAACTTCAAAAAACGTATCTACAAACAATATTTTCAATAAAGATTCAAACAATAATTCATTCAAAAGTTTTTGAAAAGTATTTCGAAAAGTATTTTATATCAATCATATAATCACGATGTTTATGGATGGATATTCAAAGAAGATTCTATGAAAGCACAATTAATGTATTTTATATATTCACCCACTACTTGGAATATTATACATCTTTTTTCAGTCATGGATCTACGTTGGATCAATTCCAGAACTGATGGAGACTATACAAGACGATGAAAACATTGGAGCAGTTATATCAGAAATCGAAATTAATGTAACCTTGCTGAAACTTCAGAAAGCTTTGACGTATCTGAAAAGGAAAGACTGTTTGTTCATAGTAGGTGCCAGCAATTTGCAAATACCAGTTGGTCCTCTAGGACCGGTGATAGGTATGTATATTTTCAGAAAATGAAACATTTTGCTCTGTTTCGTCATATTGGAAAAACGAAATGTTATCAAGAATAATTCAATAATCCTCCAAAGTTCGTATGGAAATCAATTAACAAAATTCTACACTCTCGGACAAAAATATTGAATATTTTATTTCAAGATGTTAATTTTTGCTCCTTAACACGTTATTCATTTTTATTGATACATGTTTAAACGGCCAAAGTATTTTACGTAAATTTCCATTCAGTATAGATAAAAGAATGTTTGGAAATAATCGCTATAAAAAACTAATAGAGTTTATTCTATGATTTTCACTATAAGTGTTTGAAGAACCTATTGTATAGCGAAACACGTGTCGCGGTTTTTGTAAAACCCTTATAGTGAAAATCATAGAATAAACTCTATTTATTAGTTTTTTAAATATGGATTTTCATCAAGTATCGGCCAGTTCTATTCAATTATAATCGCTATAGCTGAATAAGTAAAATAATAATAGCTGAATAAGTAAAACAAATTACAAACTTTTAATAGTGTGCCTTTGCCACTATTAATGTCTATTGTTTTGTTCATTGTTGTCAGAATGACATTTCGAGTACTTTATGTTTTGTTTCTGTAGTTTTCTTAGTGAGAAGCCGCATTTGAACGAATTAGTTTGTGTTAAAATGAACACTTTAGACGATGAGGGATGCAGACAATAAGATATTGCGCGGAGATTGCATATCCATCAATCGACTGTTTCTCGTATCGTGAAGCGATACAATGACACTGGGGAGTATAAAAGGCGGCCTGGTCAAGGACGTAAGAGATATACAACGCCAAGAAATGACCAATGTTTAAAAATTCAATCTTTGCGAAATCGCACGCTTACAGCTCCGCAAATGATTTACTGAGCACAAGACGAGTTAACGTAAGTGTCAAAACAGTAATAAGAAGACTCAAAGAAGTTGGTTTGAATCCAAAACGCCCTGCCAGAGTTCCTAGGCTTCTACAACGTCACAAATCTAGACGGTTACAATTTTCACAGATGAAACAAGAATACAGTTATGGAAATCAGATGGACGTCGTCGAGTATACAGAAGATCTGGAAAACGTTTCGCAGAATGTAATCTTGTACATAACGTTGGTTCCCTTATGGTGTGTGATGGCATAAGTTGGGTCAGTCACACCGAGCTTATAGAGGTGAATTTAAGAATAAATGCTGGTACATACGCAACATCCTTGAAGAACATGTTTTACCTTACGGCGGCTTCATTGGTTCCGACAATTTGTGGTAATGCATGATAATGCTCGTACACATGCTGGAAGAACCGTCACCCAAGTATCTTGAAGTTGTTGGATTTGAGGCAGTGGACTGGCCACCAAACAGTCCTGACGCAAATCCCATAGAACATATTTGGAACATCCTAAAAAGACATATACGAACACGAAATCCAGCTCCTAACTCAATTGCAGAATTAGGAATTGCTGCACAGGGAGAATGGAATCAAATTCCACAAGAAACCAGCATTCTTTTTGCGGAGTATACCCAGGAGGATGCAGGCTATCATTACAGCTAGGGGACGGAACACTAAGTACTGAACTGTTATTATGTTGTATCAAAGAACTTTCATTTTGTCGTCATTGTTGCTTGTTCTGATTAAATATTTTTACCAAAACTTGTCTATTCCATTACTTCTTCTACAAGTGTATTATAAAGTTTCAATATCTGGATTATTTGGCAATCAATATACGTTAAATACTTCAGCATATACCATTTAGTAATGAAAACTGCATAAAGATTCAGACAAATAGAAATAAACATGAAATCAAGGCTTTAAAGGCTTTAAATAAAATTTGCAATATTTTTGTCTGTGAAATTAAATGTATATTCGTAGATGAAATTAAAATTGAAAATCTACAAAATATTTATGAAAGTTTCAACATTCTGTGACTGTTGGTATAAATTTATGATCCAGTATTCCTACTCAAAATGCCCCTGCAATCAAAATTATCGTTCATATATCTCAAGCCTTCCGAACCAGAAAAAATAGAAGAAATTATTTTATGTTAGATTCGAGAAAAACTCCAGTTTCCGACAGAGTTACCATTAAAATTGTTAAAAAGTTGAATCAGAATTAGCGCCACTGATAAATCTTCCTTTTTCAACAAGTTTGTTGCCTAAAAATGCGAAAATTGCCTAAATAAAACCATTATTTAAAGCACGTAAAAAAATACCAAATGACAAATTTTTATAGACCGATTTCAATTTCACTTATCAGTCATAATTACCATATGATTGGCAATACAGATTACGAAAAAATAGTGATACAGAGTCCTTACTTCTTACATTGCTGTACTCATATCTATATAGGCGACATAAATACATCAAATAATTTATAATAACTGGGGTACAACAAGGATCACTGCTGGGACCTGTTTGGTGTCTTATATTTTAATCCTTTGACTACAGTAAAATTATTTGGTAAATTACAAATGTTCGCTGATAACACTTCAATTTACAATGGCAATAATATAAAATTCTATAATAGTCAGCAATAAATTCCCAGAAATATTATTGCAGGTTTTGATTTTATACATTTTATCACATAATTATATTAGTTTAATTAGTATCATTTCCGTACGCCACTGCAAGATACAGATTAAGGCAAAAACGTCAGTCATTTCTGAGAATGTAGTGCCTACTATTTTGGAATTATATGTTAATATTCAGGAAATTTAAATTATAAATATCATTATGGCTTCAATATCATAAAATGTCACAAAATTTTCAGAAATCTTATATCAAAAACGTGTATATCAATTGATTCAAAAGATGCAATTAACTTTCACAATGAAAATATCAAATACTTTTCTAGTACACAATTTCTCGGTCTAATTCTAGATGAAAATGTATCATGGAAACAACATATTGAAACAATGATAAAAAAATAGCTTCATATATTTCATCAAAAATAAACTCAAATATTCAAATCTGACTTTCAAAATTCATAGTGACCAACTCAGCCATTCGACAAGATATTCAGGCAATCCAAACTTGATGAAAATGAAAACAAATGTTAGACAAAATTTAATTTATTATAAAGGTATCAAGTTTTATAATGAGTTACCAAATAAGATAAGTTGATAATAATATTTGATAATAATCAAACTTCTGAATACCTGTTGATTACTTGCACTTGGCTATACCGTACTGATGACATCTAAGAACCACGTGTCTGCGGTTTGCTTATTTTTTTGAGTGCTTCGTTCATGAATTTTTCCTGTTTTTGTTTAGAAGAAGAATTCATGGCTGGCTTTAATGTAAATCGAAGTATTTTGTGGGGTTGCACTGCAGACACGTGTTTCTTAGCTGTCATCAGCTAAGAACTTCCTTTTTGTGAACAAATTACTTATCTGTGAAAGATACTATAGATACACATACATACATGCATGCATGTATGTATGTATGTTTGTGTGTAGGTACCACTAATATATGTTTTACAATCGACTGCATTTTTATTTGAGAGTTTCAGTTACTAACGTTTGTGAGTCGCTTGTTGAGTATGGTTTCTTTTAATCTGATTCATCAATTTTTCTATTCAAGCGAGTTCATACATAATTTCAAACTGAATTTGATCATATTTGGAATTTAGACGACTCCAATTACAAGTTCAAGAACAAATTCAAACAATATTTGATAGAGAAAACATTTTATTGCGTTTCTGATTTTTATGATTGACTTTTTTTTCAATTTCTACCCTGTTCCACACTGTGAAGTATTATGGAACAAAGCTGTTATTATTGATATAAGTGGTGCAGAATTTTGTAACAATTGGATGGTGATATTCAACAAATGAGATATGCTGATAAAAATAAGATTATCCCTAGTTGAGGATCATACCAGACTATAATCGCCACTTAATGAAACCTTTTAATTAGAGCTCAATTTCCCATACACCATACTTGTACTCAATTTCACTTCTGAAGATGCTAACTTGGATAGTGAAAACTTGCAACAAGTACAAAAATGTTCGGAGTTTAAGAAATTAGGCTCCATTCGAATGTTTCTTCTTTAACACCAAAGGTTTCAGTCACATCTACGGCTCTTAATGTATGAATAGAGGAAAATTTCTGCGTGGGTTGCAACAAACCAAACGAGATGATATATTCCGTAAAGTGATCCTCACATTTTGTGCCAGTCAAATCAAATTCTGAAAACCCTACTTCTTATATTATTTGAAAGAATTACAAATAGTATCGTATCAATATATTTTTCATTATGGAGAATAAAATAGCAACAATCAAAGGACGAACCTTATTTTATTAGATGAAGTTATTTGAAAACAAGTTCAATTTCATGAATTATGACAAGATAAAATTTCCAGTACGCCTCTGTTATAGACACCATGTCGCAAGTCTGGCCCCGAGTCACAGAACACCTCTAGTTAGGGTGTTCTGTGCCTGAGTGATCCGCTTTTCAAGATGGTGTCTTCATACTTTTTGAGATCAAAGGCGGCATCGTGGAGTGTCCGTGCTGATTGTTAGGTATGCATGCTGTGACGGTATAGCCAAGTGCAAGTGCAGGATGACGCCCCAGCATCATCAACCAACGACCACTCCCCTCACCATGGGGTAAGTGATCATTGGGTCCGAGAATCATGTGCCCTGTGCAAGCGCAGTGAGCCAAAAATTACTGCATTCTGTATTTATCCGGCTAAGATTTCTGCCTTAGTGCGGCAAGGCGGCATGATTTTGAGATTCGAGAATAGGGAAGGCATCATTACACCAAGGATTCCAAAAATCTTGACAGAGGTCTGGATAGAGTGCGGAGTTCAAAGAGAAAATCTCGATATTTCATTCTCCTCCTTCTTTCGGACGATATTCGTCTCGCTAGGAGCTGAAAACCCCACGACAAATATCGTCTTGCTCTGGTGATCGAGAAGGACTACATCATGCTTATTAGCTTGTATGACCCTGAGGGTAGGAGAACAAGTAGTTCCAATAAATTCGGCACTTCTCGTTCCGCACAACGGATTCACAATCCCCCGGAACGTTGGGCAACACCGGTGTCGCATCAATACCGTAAGAGTGCCGTATGTGGTAATACAGCATTCTCAGGGCCGCGTTATGTCTATGGATATAGGCTCATACCGTATATTATTATCATAATTTATTATATCAACATGTCAGCAATATTGTCAATGTTTCATTATTTTCAGGTTCTAAACCATTTCAAGACATTCTAAGAGATTTCAGTGGAAGGGAACCGTACCGAGTGGGAAAGCCATCTTTGCCCATTTTGGAACATATTATAGAAAAATATGAAATTACCGATAAATCTCGGGTCCTTTTTGTCGGAGATTCGTAAGTAAAAATAATTTTCAGTGAAAATGGTTTTCTAACACTTTTAAATCAAAAATATACGCTAGGGTTGGATTTAGCGAAGGAGTTCAACTGAAGACAATAATAATAATAATTTTAATGATCCCAAAAACATGCATGTTTATATAGGAAATAAAATAGTGTAACAAATATTATGAAACAATAAGAATAAAAAAATTGATGAAATAAAATCAATTTATCCATATAGAATCAAGGTTTCAGACTGTTTACTGTTGAATATACTATATTAGATAAATTTAGTTCATACTGCCTCGTTTACGTGGTTATCCGAACCACTCCGGCCTGTGTACCGGCGTTAACGAAAAAGGTTTCTATATTCCACTTCATTACAACAACATTAAATTAATTTCCATAACGTGCACCGTTTTTTCACACACAAATCTTTTGAACTCCATTTCGACCAAGCCATCAGTGACAACTTTGAGGACAGTCGCTCTCGGTAAGACCTTTTTTATTTCGCAGTCAAAAAAGGTTTTTTTTTCTTGATTTTTCAAATGTTTGAATACCGAGAGGAGAAAAATTCCATAATTTGCAACTTTGTTTTAGCCGATTCCACTATTGCTACCTCATCTACGAATGTTTATATATACTTGGTATAAAATACAATATTTGGGGCGGTCCGCGGGTCAACCTTTCGCGGTCCGTAAACGGACCGCGGTCCGCCTGTTGCTGACCGCGGCAATAGAGCAATGTTGCCAACAAAATTACTACTTTTGAATTTTATGATCTTAAAAATGTTTTCAGTGATGCTCTTTCGTCTATTACCGCTGAAAAATGTGAAAGATGAAGTGAAAATGAAAATGTTAAGATTAGACCATCTAAAGGATGATTTAGTTGACAGAAATCCGTTGATCTTGATGATGGTTCTTCCAGTAGCAGTTCTTCAGAATCAGTAACCGGTCTAAAATAACAAAACGATTATTTTTTTCAATTTATGCGCTGAACCGTCATTTGTCCTGCTGAAATGAAATTACCCCATTATTTTGTAATTTACTTAATGTTGAATACACAAAATTGTTCTTATTCTCTTCTATAGTTAAACTTTGAATAATTTTCATAGACCCAGCCGCGTATTATTAAAGAAGAAATAATAAAATTTCGGTAGTCTTAGTGCGACTCTGTACAAGCAGCCTTGTCTGGTAGATCACGTGCACTATGCATGATAATATTTTGACGCACTCCGTTGCTTGGATGTATAAAGTTTAGAATGATCTCTTTTCAGACCGAGAATATCAGTGGTTGTTTTTAAAATATTTGCCAAAACCAATTTCGTGATTTAGTTCTGCCGCCTCCATTTTGAATGATATGCAGAGGAACTTTCAATATTGTTTCATATTTTGTTATAATCTGATATGAACTAATTTGCAATGCTTCGTTTCGTTCATTAGATTTCATCATCAACTTTATTTTTTAAATACGGACCTCGAGTTTTTTTCATCAATTTTTATAGCTGAAAAAAACATCAATATTTGTCTAGTATCACAAAGATAGAAACCAATATCTTGGAACTTGAGGCAGGGCATCTGCGTTTTTATGGCTAGTCCCAGCTCGATGTTCTATTTCGAAGTCAAATTCTTGTAGTCTTCGACGGGCTAT